CACTAAAGCCAGGCCTGAGGCCACTTATCAAGCCGTATGGGGCATGCTGCTGCTTGTTTGAGAGATTTTAGGAACGTCCTAAGCATGAGGCTTGAGAGGTCACCTGCAGAGAAAAGCCCCTGGAAATGGCCTGGATAAGCCTGCAAGTGGGAAGGGGCGGGGCCTCTGGGAATCATGGGGTGGGGCCAAAGGTGTGAGTCAGGTGCTGGCGATTCAAATATGGCTCCTGCCTGCCGGCTGTGTGCCAGGAGGACTCCNCAGGTGCTGGCGATTCAAACATGGTGCCTGCCCGCCGGCTGTGTGCCAGGAGGACTCCCCAAAGGAGCAATGGCCTCTGCCAGCTCTTCTGTCTGGGAGGAAGCTGCCCCTCCACCTCTTGCCCCAACTTCAGGCAGGTTAGTTCCTCCCCAAGTGTCCTAGGTCCTTTCCAGCTGCTGCCTGGCACTGGGCTCAGAGGGAATGTGCCTGAGTGAGTCCGTGCGCGGGCCCTTTAAGAGGAGCTGCTGGGGCTCCCGCAGCCTGCGTGACCCTCAGTGACAGCTCCTGCTGGTTTCACAGCCCAGAGTTGTGGGGACGTCTCTTCCCGGCCCTGGAACCCTGGGCTGGGGGGCTGCTGTGGGGCTGGGACCCCTCTCTCCTCCAGGAAACCTCCACCACTGAGATTCCCTCCCGGGTTTAACCCACGGCACTGGCTGTGGGTCCGCGGCTGGGTTTCTGGGATTCAGCCCCCATCCACCCGCGTCTCCGCCCCTTCTGCTGGTCTCAGTGCTTCTTCAGTTCCCTGGTTGTAGGGCTTCTGTTCAGCCAGATTTCAGAGGCTCTGAGTGATGGTTGTTCTGTATTTTAGTTGTAATTTTGATGTGGTTTGCGGGTGGTGGCGGGTGCAGCTATTACCTATGCTGCCATCTTGTTTCTCCAGCCTAATAATTTTTCTTAAGGGATATGCCAAGGAGATTCTGTTTATCTGACCCAAACAGCAGCTTTTTTCTCTGCTTCCTCAATCTGAGCATTTGAGTAGTGGAGGGGACCGAGCAGACATTTAAGAAAACTGTTGAAAGTGCAGAGATGCACATCATTTTCAAGTGGTAATGTGTGCAATTTTCTCCCCAAATGACCCGTGGGAGTTGATCCTTGATGCTTCCCACCCTCTCCCAGTCTTTGCTTTGGACTCAGTGCCAAATAACCTTAGTGAGCTTCGTTCTCTTCACTTGTGATACGAAGGGTTCAAACCCAGTTCCCTCCTTAGGGTTCTCCTTAGGGGAGAGCTCACTGGTGAGCATGCTGAGAATGCACTCGACTGCTTTAGGTTATGAGGCTGGTCCTCAAATGGCTGATGTTCTTTAGACCCAGAATCATAGGATTTAGATTCTTCCCAGCTCTCTCATTGACAAATGTGTGATTTGAGAAGGCGGTACAATCTATTGTTTTAATCTATAGTTTTGCTTTGTAAAATAAAGAAAATTAAGTTTTTAACCATTAAATGAAATAATTCAATAACTATTAAAATCTAATAGTAAGTAAAAGCCACTGAATTTTGATGAAGAGATGAGTACAGTGGCTAAGGGACAGTGTACTTGACAGTGCTATACTTGACAGAAGGATATATGTGGACATTTCAAAAGCTACCAGACCTAGGTATCAGTAACAAATGACAAAACAAAAACTCTATAGACAAAAAACAACAATAAAAACAAAAATTATAACTATAGCAAAGAAGGCAGCAAATTATTTATTTTAATAATAGGTAACATTTATTGAACACGATGTAGAATTTTTATTTTATTTTTCAACTTACTTTAAAATATTAACATATACCTGAAATCAGGTAGTTTTGAGACTCGGACTCTGTTTTTTAGCTCAGTTATTGCCCATTGTCTGCTGTTTAATTTTTCTCTAAATAAAATTTACAATTAAGAAAAAACATTATTTTAAATGTGAGTATATGTATTATATATACTTATGTAAAACACTTTTATACACACATATCTATTGGGATCATGTTCAGTTGCAAATAATAGATAATCATAAGAGTTTTAGGAAATGTGTGTACACTTTTTCTCATAAAACAAGATTTATTAAAGTAAGTACTTGATGATATTATTTTAGCTGCTCAGTGAAATCTTCAGGGTCCCAGGCTGTTTCTACCTTTAACTCCAACGTCCTTAGTATGTTGGATTTTCCCTTATGCAAATCACTTCATGGTCAGAGTATGGCTAATATATCTCAGATATCAAGTCTGGTTCAATGAAAAAAAAATCCCCTCTTTCTGTGTTAGGTCTCAATGGCCAGAACATAGTTATTAGAAGCTGGAAGGGCAGCTAGGAAGGTGGGGAGCTAGATTAGATAACTGTTTCAGACCACTGTGATCCATGTCCTGGTGTATAGTATGTTTGGGCCTGAAACCAAATTATGGTTCTTAACAAAAAAGAATATAGAAAAGAATATCAGGTAGGCAACTAGCAGAATTTTCAATAATGATAATGGGTAAACAAAATTTACTTATTTGAAAGATGCTATGATAAATTGTGATGGATGATAAAGTATTTGTGAAATATGAGGCAGAAAAAGTCCTTCCAAAACAAATTCAATTATTTGTGACAATTCATTTTAATTAATGAAAGATATTTTATATTAGTTTCAGAACCTTCAGCAGGTTCTTCCATGGTGGGGAAAGATTTTAACATAGGCATATTAATAGATTAAAAGATCAACAATATATTAAAATCACTGAAGAAATAGACAGCCTTTTTGGTTGTTTTCTTACATTGACAGATATGGAGAGGGCTAATGTAGAATATCTGTAGTAGCAGAAATGGTTTTTAACTGATGATATACGTATTTTCAGGAACAAGAATCATTCTGAACTATACATGTGGGCTTATCCATGTTACATACATTGAGTGATTCTTTACTTTAGTGGACAGACTGCATCTGTTGTTCTATAGTTAGCATATTCTTAGGCTGCCAGAGAGCATCTCATCACTTGGCATGTCTCACATATTAGACAGTGAGAAAGATGGAGTGCAGTTGCTGAAGGACCTATAGACTTAGAGATTGGCAGAAACGACAGCTGAGAACAGTCAGCCACAATGCTTTCTCCATAGCTATAATGAATTAGCAAGGACAGGCATGTTCTGATGACAGGTAAAGATCAAGGGAGAAAAAAGAATTTCCCGATTTCTAATTATTAACTATTTCAGTATGATGTCAGTGAGTGCAACACATGGAAATGCAGGACATTTGAAGATGTAAATAATAGGTAATTGTTGATATAAGTGACGGTAGTTTTGAGTGACCCATTTCAGACTGCTCTGCTTCTTGACTGAATTTAGGAAATTATATGTGCAAGCATTCTGGATGTAATACTTATGTGCACTCAATAAGCTGTATGTTTTCCTTTGGTGTCATTGTTTTCCACTATTATCTTATATTGGCTAGAAAAAATAGATTAAGACTCTTTGCTAAAATATATGAGAAACATTGTTTGGAGAGTAAGGATTTTGATAGTGAATTCAGTTAAAAATACTACTTCTTATAGCATCTTACTGAGGCTGAACCAGCAAATTAGGAGGCAACTGAAACAATGGATTTAGAAACTTCAGAAATGTTGCAATATATAGTTTGCAAATATATTAACTACTGTTTGAGTAAAGGTGTTTGTGTCCCATATATGCACACACACCTAATTCTAAGTGGTCATAGTGGTATAAATAGATTGATGAACTGAAATTTTGAGATTAAAAAAGATTCGAAGAGAACATGATTTTTGTGACTACTACAGATTTTCTATTTCTTCTATCATTAATTCTTTGTCTTGGCTCAACTACCCAAATACATTTGAAAATTAAGGATTTTAGTAATACCTACTTATATTTTATAGGCATTTTGACTTATACTTCATTATTTCAAGTATAAGAATAAAAAGAACCTCAGGTAAATCTTTGTAATTTAACACAATCATCTTTAAACATTTATCTTTAAATCAATCTTGGGCCCAGTTGGATGGCTCAGTTGGTTGGAGTGTTGTCCCACATACCCGAAAGGTTGTGGGTTAAATTCTGGGTCAGAGCACATACCTAGGTTGTAGGTTTGATCCCTGGTCAGGGTGCATATGGAAAACAACTGATCAATGTTTCTCTCTCTGTCTCTCTTATTTCCTCTCTCTAAAATCAATAAACATATCCTCAGATGAAGATTAAAAAATATTAATCCTGGATAAATTTATACTAGCTTTCTTACCTATAGCCAACTTCTCTTTCATTGGGTTATAATAGCAAATAGACTCAAAATTATTTCTATAATAATAATAACATAATACTTATAATAATAAAAGAAAATACTTAAGTTATTTAAAATCTTGATTTCTAGTCATAAACATCTGCACATTTTCACAGGACAGAGAAATTACTTTGATTTTATGAAGGAAGTAAAACATTAATATTTGTATAGTTTTTTTTTTCTTTTGTTATATCACCATGCTTATCTAAATCCATAGTAACTTTAAATAACAAAAATATTTTCAAAGCTTGAAGACATACTAAATGAAATAAACCAGTCACAAAAGGGCAAATATTGTATGATTCCACTTACACGAGATACCTAGAGTAGTCAAATTCATAGAGACAGAAAAGTAGTGTGGAGCTTGCCAGAGGCAGGAGGAAAGGGAAAATGTGAAGTAGAAAAAATTCCTGTTGGCCATTCAATGAGACATATTATGACATTTCAGAATTAGCTCAAGTATTACGTACTTTCTGCCTTCATTCTAAATAAAAAATAAATTAAAGAATGCATGTAAAACACTGAGCACAGACCTGGTAGACTATTATCATCTCAGTAAATGTTATATTTTAATATTACCCCAGTCAATGTTTCAGAAGGTCAAAAGAGCAGTGTGAAATCATGCATCTTTTAAATAAGTCGATGAGTATATTTATAACAGAATCATATTACAATGTAAAATATTTTTCAACATTCTTTATTAAGAAACTCTATTATTCTAGGAGGAATTGTTGATAAGGATCTTCGTCACTACCTCAACTTACGATTTCAGAAGGGTTCTGTGGACCATGAACTTCAGCAAATTATTCGTGACAACCTCTACCTCCGCACGGTGCCATGTGAGTACAGCAGGCGATATTATTTTCTATTTTAACAGATAAATGTTCGGCAATATGTCCATTGTTTCAAAGAAAAGTTAAATTCCACTGATTTTTATGATGGGCATTTGGAACAGAAAAATTATTTGAGATATGGAAGTTTTAAATGCAAAGGCTTATAACTGCAGTTGTGTGGTTCATGATGAAGTTGTAACCAGAAAAGACTTGTGATTTTCAAGCTATAACCTTAATTTACTTCTCCAGTTTGTACTGAGAAATATGAATTCTAGTCCAGGGTGTTGGTGATTCAGAATGAGTCCTGATTGGGGTAGAACTCCACACCGGGAATTGGGAGAATGCAAGTTGAATTTGTAAGCTGAAATAGCTATTTTGTGAATAGAGCCTACACAGTAACTCCCAGCTTCATCTTTGGTTTGCAGCAGAGGAATCTCACAACTGAAAAGGAAATTATGAATTGGAAAGTGAGGCTGAATATCCTGTAACTCTTAGAAAGTGATGATGATGAGTGTTGGGCACAAATTTCTTATATGAAACCTATAGAAACCCACAAACAATCCCTGATTATGAACAGGTGCTACTTCAAAAGAGAATTGGTAAAGTGATAAAATTCATAAATCAACTTCTTAGTACCTGCTTCAGCTCATTTAAGAATTTTGTATAACTTTGTGGCAACTCAAGGATTTTTCAAGGCAGGTCCTAGATCTTAGATATCAAAATCTATTTCCTCAAGGTAGAGCCCATGGCCTCCAGATACTTCTCAGTCTCTCCAGAAACTTTGATCTGTGGGGGCTGTATGTATTCCTTTTTAGTTCTGCTCTAAATGTTAACAAACTCAAAGCTATGGGTTTTGAAAGGTTGATATTTAAAAAAGAAAAACTTTACTGGGATAAATGAAACAAATATGTAAATATAAATAGATAGATATGCATATATATTTTTTTATTTCTGGGATAGAACTAATAGACTATGTAAAATGTATAGATTATAGATGATTAGACTGAAATGCTGATAACAAACAGAAATGAAATGAATAATTCAGCACCCAGCCCTTTTCACCTACACACATCTTAGGAAGATGGACTCTTGCCATTGTTAGCACCGACTGTTCAAAAAAACAGATGTGCCAGGACACCACTATCAAATATTCCTAAATGAGAATGCTTGCTGATTGACATTTTGTCAATCCAAATGCTACTTCTGTTAGTGTGTGTTAGTTAAGTAAATAGACTGTTGGACTCTTGCTTTAAAACTGGAAGTTGAGGAAAGTGCATCCTTAAATTTGTAAGTTTGACATTAGAGTGATGGGCAGGGGAAGGTGGATTAAAGTAAGTGACTGAACTATTTATAAGGTAACGGGTGGACTCATTTTCAAAGCTGTGATGTTGTCAGCGCAGTCATGTAAATTTATCTTTTGTGGTATGAAAGAAAGGAGATATGAAATGCCAAATAAAGAATCTGGGCACTTTATTATGTTTAAAAGCTGAGGAAAATAGATAAGAGGCTGACATTCAGGAATACTTGTAGTCCTTGCTAAAGTGAGGACATAAATGTCTTAATTAAATATGAAGATAATAGAAGTAAATTTTGCATTAGTTAATTAACTTCTTAAATAAGTCATCTCTCTTTAGAACACCAAAGAAATACTATGAAGGAAAAATAAATATAAGGCTAGAATAACTAGGCTTATATGAGTAAACATAAAGAGTTTCCTGATGTGATTTCAGTACAAGGTCATAAATTCAATTAGAAATCATGAATAGCTCCTATAAAGAAGATGATTAGAAACTCAATGAATCTGAATATTATATGCATACAATTATTTTTTTTTAATTTGTAGTCACCACTCTTAATGGACAATTCCAATAATGCCATTCTCTAACAATGCTCTTAACTTGACATTAAAGTAAAAATATCATCTAAGGTAGAGATGATTCTGATTTCTGTCTATAATTAGTTTTATACTGATGAATTGGACCTAAGCAATCTACTGCCTTTACTCAGTATATCTTTTAATGAAATGTTCAGACACTTCCAGAAACTGTGCAGCAAAAATGTGTCAGTAGTGTGAAAAATCCTGCCATAATTTAAAAACTTAAAAGTGTATTCAGCACATCCCTTGGGCTTGGGTAGTCTTACATAGTCTCTTTTTTAAAAAAAAAAAAAAAAAAAAAAAAAAGTCTCATTGGTTTTCATGTACCCAGCACCATAAAAGAACAATGCTTTACTGAGGAGCATATCACTGCTCTTATGCAGACATAGCTTAATATATATACCTCTGTTTAATCTATTAATGGCACCAGGAATAAGTCCTGGATAACTCAATGGAAACAAAACTGTAGTCAACTTGTAACTAGGTGAGAGTGGTTTAAATTTGTTAAAAGGAAGACCCAACTGAGTAATTCTTCTCACTACCACTACCAGCTACAACTAGAAAGAAGAGCAAAGTCTTAGGGCTTTATTTCCTTGGTCTCTAAGGGGTAAGAAAGAATTCTGGGATTAGGGCTCCAGAGACTCCCTCCCCTCACACACAACACATACACTCAGCCCAATTTAGTTGTGGACAACTTGGCTCCTCTACCCCCTTCTGAAGGAAGCCTGGGCCTGACTGCTGGCTGATTTCTGATCTAAACATAGGAGGGAAGTGGACAGTCCAGGTTTCTACTGCACCTTAACTATAGATAATACAAAATTCCATTCATCTTTCCTGGCTCATAAAGAAGGATTGACTATATTTTGCAATTTCATCTGTTTCCCTAGAACATTATCTCAAGCTTAATTCTTCAAAATTATTTTTTTTAAAGCTGTGTTTCTAGGCACAGAAGGCAGGACTTGATCACAGAGATAGGATTGTTGGGTATATGCTGAGGATGAGTGCACACACACACATGGGCACACATACATGCACATAGAGGCTCTCATTATATCACTTTATCATTCTTTCAAATTCAGTCATGGAGAAAAGATTCTTAGGAACTTAACCTTTGAATTTTGATAATTCCTGTAAAAGATTAGCCAGTTGCATGATTTATATTCATCAAAGACCTAAATTTGTATACATAAGCATGTGCCCTTTAGTTGTTAACTATAATTGACAGGAGTATGAAAGATCCTGGTGTTAGTGGTATTAAAAGGATAGAGGTATTAAGAGGATCCTGGTGTTCTAAAGTGAAAGTTAACTTTTTAAAAATGAATACTGTAAATGAAACTTTTTACTATTAGATTTCAGGCTATATAGAATTTTTATGTGATGGAACTTGAGGGGAAATGAGTAAATAAAGATGAGACAAAACTGTTGTAATCTGGAAAGTGACAAAAACTAACTAAGAAAAACATATATGGATAAAAGACTCAAAAAAGTGTAGAATATCCATCAAATGTGATTTCAATTACCTTGAAAGTACACAAAAGACAATTTCAGAAGCACTAAGTTAGCAGCATCTATTTAGAGTTCACATGGGGTTGTTTTATCATAGCATGTGAGGTGTACAAAGTTAAGGCAGTATGTGCATGTTGTCCTTTGTGTAATATATATTCAAAAGTATATGAGGGAAATTAGTGGAATTAATAGAGAAGATTATTGTATTAATTTTCAAATGAATAATAGTAAAAATGAACTTTATTTTGGTTTTAATATTTTACTGAGCATAATGATTGCATATAGTTAACTCTTGAATCTGATCAACATTAATTAAATTGAATATGCTTCTTAAATATGAGAAAAATAATTACTTCCATTTATTTATGAAGTTCTGATTCTTTCTATCCTTAATATTTATTAAAGATACAAATTAATTTTTGAGGCAGGAATGAGCACAGATATATATTTTAGATACTTTTTTCCATTATACCAGGTGACATGAAGAAGGACTTCAATGACCAATTTTTAAAGTTTCAAAATGAAATGGAAGGCAGTTAAAATTAAACTTCCCTCCCAAGATCATCCTTTGTTATTTGGTGAGATGGTTTTATCGGGAAATATTTTAAATTTATTTGAAGACTAAATACCAGTGTTTACCAAGTAAAAGACAAAAATCAATAAAACCAAGGCCTAAAACTGTTCCATAAAGGGTGAATAAAATGAAAAACATACATTTAGGATATGAAAGAAATCACTTTTATGAAAGAGCCAATTGAGATGTAACTCACAATGATGTTTCTACATATTTAATAGTTTTAAGTTAGTGTTAGTCTGTGTTAAAAAAATTCTCAAAAATTAAATTGTAAGTTTTCCAATATATTTTAAAAATTTCTCTGTTATGCTAAATTATTCTTCATGAATAAGCAAATAGAAGCAGGAAAGTTATAGGAACTGTCTCCTTTTTAGATGAGCAGTTATTAGTGCACAAAAAGGTACTGAGATGCAAAGGGTCAACATTCCTTTTCCCTAATTATATACTCCCATATTGGACTATGGTCAGAGAGGACTACTGAAAATCTGTTGACCACTTATCTATTAAAAAGTATTAAATTAAAATTAAGGTAGAACTTTTTAGTATACTACATAAGGGGAAATAATTTTAACTTTTAAGCAGAAAATCAATGCATTTAATCCTTATAAAATATGTAATATTCAATAAAGCAATATGTTTTTGTGGACATGAATGAATCTTTCCAATTACTAGTAATTTTCATCACAAATGTACATTTCTAAGCATGTGGTAAGTAGGGAGTGTGACATAAACCTGTGAGTTATACTACCAAAAAATTATCTTTCTTCAATGAATCAAATTTTCTAAGTTGAAGATGACCAAGAATATGATTAAATACTCAGAATATTGCCCAGCCAGTGTGGCCCAGTGGTTGAGCATCCATGGACCTACAAACCAGGAGGTAATGGTTTGATTCCCAATCAGGGCACATGCCCAGGTTGTGGGCTGCAGCCCCAGTAGGGGGCATGCAGGAGGCAGCCTATCAATGACTCTCATCATTGATGTTTTTATCTCTCCCTCTCCTTTTCTCTTTCTGATATCAATAAAAACATATTTTTAAAAATACTCAGA